TTTTAAATTTGTTATAAATATTTTAACACATTTCATAATCTTGAAAGATTTATTGCCATGTGTCACGATCATGTTAGTTAATACAACTAAATCGTCTATCTCGTTCTCAGGAAAGACTCCTCAGGAATTACGATCTACTGTGAAACTGCAACTAGGTATTGATAAAGAAGGAGGAGTAGGGAAATATTGGGTCAACCTGAACACTTTTACAGGAAAAAAAAAGACATGTTTTCCTCCTTAGTGGACGGTATAAAGCAAAAGGCAGTTTCTTGGTCTTCACGCTAGCTCTCTACTGCTGGGAAAATGACAATGCTGCAATCAGTTCTCTCTCCTATCACAATCTTCGCTATGTCATGCTTCCAACTCCCAAAAACCTGTGCAAAAGAATACAATCAGTACTCACGTGTTTTTTGGTGGGATGATAATAAAGGAAACAATAAAATCTGCTGGATTTCTTGGGATAAACTAACTAAACCCAAAAAATTTGGAGGGTTGGGTTTCAGAGGCGTGGAGCTCTTTAACATTGCTTTACTGGGAAAAATCTCGTGGAGGATTCTTACTAAACCGAACTATCTCCTCTTTCGTATTCTGCTAGACAAGTATTGCCACAACAAATCCTTTCTCTTAGTCCCTCCACTCTCGGGTTCATCTCATGGTTGGAAAGGGATCTTGGCAGGGAGAGACTTACTCCTAAAACACCTAGGGGAATCTATTGGAAACGGAGAAAAAACCAAGGTTTGGAAGGACTCTTGGATAGATACTAAACAACACACGCCCCTTTGGACCCGCTTCATTGCAAGACCAAGATCTTCTAGTGTCTGACCTCCTATCTAGAGAAACACGAGAATGGAACTTAGCAAAGATTAACAATACCTTACCAGATCTCTCAGAGCTCATCCTCCAGCTAAGACCGAGTATTCTAGGAGTACAAGACACCATAATCTGGAACCTGCAAGCCTCTGGGGAGTACATGACGAAATCAGGGTATGTAGCGCTTGGTAAGGATATCTCTGAAGCATCTCCACCTGCAGTAACGAAAAATTTAGACTAGAGGAAACTAGTATGGGCATCCAAATCAGCACCAAAATTAAAACTTTTCCTTTGGAAGGCTCTCCATGAAGCTCTCCCCACAGGTTTTAATTTGCAACGAAGGTGTTTGAGAGACAATACCTTGTGTTGCAGATGTGGAGCCACGGAAACCTTAGCACACCTCCTTTTTCACTGCCGCTTTGAAAAAGAGACTTGGAGCATGGGCCCTTGGGAAAATGTCTTCGACTCCTTCATTTGTGATTCCCTCCAATCAGGACTTCTGTTCTCTACAGTGGATAAACCTCCCTCCTTATGGCATCTCGATAAACTTATTCCCTTAGTTTTGTTGGAGCATCTGGATAGAAAGAAATCGACTTCTCTTTGAGAAGAGAGCCTCGAGACCAGGGGCGGATCCACGCCTATAAGAGGTGTGGCACGTGCCACAGACTAATTTCTAAATATTCTTGTAGAAAAGTAAATACAGATGAAAATTATCATCTCTTTTGGCTTAAATGACTCAACAGTGCCCCATATAAATCATGACGAACCCGTAGGCTTGTTTTTGATGTCCAGATTTGTACGCATGCATTAAACTGTATGTTACGGTTTACCTTTTCATAAGAATTTTTTTTTTTTATTTCTCTTTTGTTTTTCTGTTACTTGTAGAAAACAAAATATTTTCTTCTTTATCTTTAGCATTATAGTTTTTACATTTTCTCAAATAAAATCACTTCATTTGAATTTTACAATAATTATTACTATTCTAAAATCATTGAAGTTTTAGCTTTGTGCAAAACTATTAAAAAAACTATTTTTATCTCAAAATATGCTTTAAATATAAATTAAAAACTATTTAACCAGTTACAAAATTGATTAGAAATATACTGATTACACAGTTTTTGGTAAAATTAAAAATTATTATGAAATATAAGAACATCATCTATTTTGAAACATTAAAAAAATTCTTAGACATCATCAACTTATATTTTTAACACTTAAATTATAATAACTACTAAAATGAATATACCTTTCACAGTAAAATTGTATAGATATATAATTTGTGATATTACTTAAAGACATGTAATATTGTATAAATCTTTATCATTTATATTTGACTCATTTTAAACTAAATAGATAATTTTAAATACTAATGTGCTTAAATAATACAATATGTATAACATAACACAGCACAAGCTTTTTAACTGATAATTTGATTTATAATTAATATTTTAATATATATATATAAATATATGATAGATCTTATGAATGTATATATATATATATATATATTGTGCCCCATGTTAAATTATTTTCTGGGTCAGCCCCTGCTCGACACCAGAGAAAACTGAAATCAAAGCTCTGAAAGCAGCTCAGGAATGGGAAAGGGCTCAACCAACCAAACCAATGGTATCAATGGTGGATCTACGATCGCAGATGGAGAGAGACCCACCACCTGATACCATCACATGCAACACTGATGCGTCCTGGATTGCATCTTCAACAACAGCAGGCTTTGGCTGGATCTTCTTCGATCCTTCTGCAAGAGAAATCACCAGAGGCTCCTGTAGACAATCGCATGTTCCATCTGCTTGCATGGCTGGGGCGTTGGCAGTCAGAGATGCCCTCCTTCACTCTTCCTCTCTAGGATACACCCAGACCTGGCTCCGATCAGATTCACAAGTGCTCATGAGAGCAATCAACCTGAAATGGGGATCGACAGAACTCTTCGAAATGTTATCGGATATCGTTTTTTATCTTCGTTTTTTTTAATTCTGTCATTTTACTTTCATCTCTAGGACATTTAATGGGCTGGCATATTCTGTTGCCAAAGTCCAGCTGTGAACGGAATTACCTTTCTTTGGACTTCGTTTTTAAGTTAATCCATTAGAGCACCATTATCCTAGAGCATCATTATGGGTTTCTTAATTATATAATAATGGTATTTTAGGAGTTTATTTTGGTAAGCAACTTAGCTAAGCAACTTGATAACTTTCCTCCTCCATTGCAAGTTTCTTGTTTAGCATCATTCTGAACATATACCTTGACATAACATGTCCCTGAAATACATCACGAGAAGAGGGAAAGAAAATTAACACATCAAACTCTTATAACCATATACATAAGTACCACCTTATCAAATTTGAAACTGAGTAGAATCAATCAATTAACAAATCAGAGTTTCGATTCATAACTCAATCATCCCAATCAAATCACAAACATCAAAGAGTTACCTATAGCTCCGTTAAGAACTTCAAGAACAACAGCAGTTTGCATCACACCTTATCATTCTCACAAAGAATCAAGCACCGATCAAAACCTTAAGATAAGATCAAGCAAAGTAAATCAACAAGGGAGCTATAGTAACACTCAGACACCACATACTAAAGCAAAAAGCTTGCAGTTCAGATTCATTACAACTTAAGACAAATAACGGTTCAAGCAACATGAGTGACATCAAGCTTGGTAGAGACTATACAAGGAGTTGGCTTTTAAGTTACACAAGATGACAATGTGGCAAATATCAAAAGTGGAAATCAAGTGATGAACTCTCACTTTCTTACAAAAGCGTGGTACTAGTATCAACATACTCCCACGAAACATCAAATGATAAAACAATACCACCAATCAACACCACAAACCAAAGCTATACACAAATACAACTAAGAAGACTTCTAAGCGAGTGCATCTGCAATCTCACACACACTCATAGAAAAGACGACTCTTTATGTTTCACTTCAACAACCACATTCCAGAGAAAATACGAGAGACAAGAAAGTCCCAATTTTAAAACTTTGTTAAGAAAAGGTTACTCTTGAACCATTAGCTAGAGTTCTATAAAGCACAACAACACAAAATCGATTCAATTCTCACTCCAATCAGAGATCATGTAGGTAACAGAGTCTAAGAGGCATATAGTTTTAAAAACAAAGAAAGGTACTTACTTTCTTCATCATCAGCGAATTCAGGAAGAAGATCACCTTCCTCATCGATCTTCTTCTGCAAAACCCAATAAANTAGCTAGAGTTCTATAAAGCACAACAACACAAAATCGATTCAATTCTCACTCCAATCAGAGATCATGTAGGTAACAGAGTCTAAGAGGCATATAGTTTTAAAAACAAAGAAAGGTACTTACTTTCTTCATCATCAGCGAATTCAGGAAGAAGATCACCTTCCTCATCGATCTTCTTCTGCAAAACCCAATAAAAAAAAAGCACAAAACTTTCAGCATCAGATGGTTGAACCAGAAACAGAGGATAACAAAGTAACCAATTACTATCTTCTTCGTTTTCATGAGCCAACTGAGAGAGAGAAAGCAAAACCTCTTTGAGAAGAATGGATTCAGAAAACAGGCCTTTGGCTTTGTCAGATCTCACGGAGAAGCTGTGGAGGGGTGACGAGTTACCAACAGGAATCAAGACAGAGAAGGCCAAAGGGAGAGAGAGAGAGATGCCGAGAACGCCGACACCTGTCTCCAAGCAACGCCGCTTGTGAAGCTAGATTAAGCAACGTGCCTTCCTTTTTTTTCTATTTTTCTTTTTCTTTTTAATGAAAATTAAGCTAAGCAACGGGGTTAGCAACCCCGATAATGATGCTCTTAGTTGCTCAGAAAAAAAAAACAACTTTTATATAATAAGACTAATATATATTAACCTCCTCTTTTTCTATTTTTTGACAACGTATTAACCTCCTCTTCTAAATTTTATTGAAAGGAAAGTAGTGAATCCGATACACGCCATGCAACCGAAAAAGAAGTTCCACTCCCGATGAATAAAGAAGAATGACGAATTTAAAATCAACAATAAATAAAATGGAGCTTGTGAGTTATTATGATCATTAGTGGGTCTACACACACACCTATCAGCGTGTTAATTACACTTTGTTGATCTTCTAATCATGTTTTATTTTTGACGAAAGATTTTGTTGCCTACGATGATTGCAAAGCGGAGAATCAAAACAGGAAAAAACCAGTCTGTAAATGATATGTATTAAATAAATAGAAGACTCTTAATACATTACATAAGGAGTTAAATCTATGATAAATATATGATATGTTATTTGCTTACACCACATCATCAAGCAAGCATGTACTAGAGTTTTGTTTGTGTGAGAATATCTGATTAGACTGGTTCCTTATAATTGGTTGATGATTTAGAAGTCATGTCGAGTCTTGACGGTCCTGCATCAATCAGAAGCTGGACGACTTCGTTCATGGTAGGACGGATTGTTGGAGATCTGCTCGTACAACGGATAGCTACACGCAAGACGTTGATCATGTCGGCTTTCGATGATTCCGACAATCTCTTGTCTAATGTCTCAATCAATCCTTCTTTCGTGTCAATCATTTTTGACACCCAATTCACTAGGTTCTTGTTCTCACCAAAACTGGAGTCAACCAGTTTCTTCCCCGTGATTAGCTCCATTAACACCACCCCGAAACTGTATACGTCGCACTTGATCGTTGCTTTGGAGGAGTACGCATATTCTGCCATCATCAAATTCACATTCATCAGGTGATAATAGAAAACTTGTACAACAATCGAAAAGCACGATCACATGAATATTCATCAATCGTACGTTGAAAAGGGAGGAAAACTGAAAGTAATTTGTTTTTTCTTTTCAAAAATAGCATTACCGAAAATGAATGAGTATGATCAAATACCATGGTGATCATATTTAGCAAGGGCCTTATTATTTCATTTGTGAAAATGCATTGAAATGTTTCACCAAATAAAGTTTATATATAGAGGGTATCACCTGGGGCCAAATAACCATAGGTGCCGGCAATAACGGTTGTGGTAGAATCTTTTCCTCTAGCTTGCAACACCTTTGCAATGCCGAAGTCTGCAACTTTAGGCTTATAATTTACATCTAATAAGATGTTTGTGGATTTGATGTCACGATGAATGATTGGGGGCGAGATATCATGATGAAGGTAGGCCAATCCTTGAGCGACTCCAACAGCGATTTGATGACGTGTAGGCCAATCGAGATGAAAAAATCCTTTGTGAAGAGCGTCCCATAAGTTACCGTTAGGCATATACTCATATACCAAAAGACTACAATCCAAGCTTGAGAAATAGCTGAAGAGCTTGACGATATTCTTATGGCGAATACTCCCCAGCGTTTCAACTTCAGTTTTCAATTCCTTGTTCAAATGCAACCTGTCTTCAGAGGTTGAGTCTTTGCTACTCTGGCTCCATAGCTTCTTCACCGCAACCACTTCTCCGGATTTGAGCTCCACCCTATACACCGTACCTGAACCACCATGGCCTACAATGTTCTTGTCCACCAGAGCTTCGAGAATCTCTCTTTGGTCAAAGTTTATGCGGTGGAAACTCTTGACTTCGTAGGAGAAGAAAGAAGACGCGAAGGTCTCGTCTTGCTCTATCACTGCTTTGTTTCTACTCAACCGTTGTCTCAAGTAAACCGTGATCCCCCCCAGGACTAGGATAAAGACTGAGACGAGAAGGATTGTCCAGATCGAGCTCAGCTTCTTCTTACCAGGAGCTTCTTGACACGTGGGAAACTTTAAACCCGACGAACCCGCGTTTGGTGGAACACAGAGGTTAGGGTTATCCGAAAAGCTTTCCACAAGACCTCCTTTTATCAACGAGACGGGGATGGGACCAGAGAGGTGGTTGCTGGAAAAGTTGATTGAAGTTGGGAGCAAGTCGGAGATGTTTTCAGGGATTCTTCCGGTGAGTGAATTACTGGACAGATCAAGAACGTTGAGAGACTTGAGATTCGAGAGAGACTCAGGGATTGAAGAGTCCAGGTGGTTGCCTTGGAGCACAAGTAAATTCAACTTTCTAAGTCTTCCTATTTCTGATGGTATTGGACCAGACAATTGATTATTACTGAGATCAAGCTTCACGAGGTTAGTGGCATGAGAGATCTCGTGAGGTATAAAACCGGAGATTTTATTACCCTGCATAAACAACTCTGACAAATTCCAAGCCATCCCGATCGAATCAGGTATTGGACCAGATAACAAGTTGTACGCCAAGTCGATGATGGAGACATGAGGCAGCGATGTAATTCCTTGTGGTATAGCTCCCACGAGGCGGTTGTTCGCGACACGAAACCTTATGAGAGTCTTGCAGCTCCCATAGCTCGCGGGGATCGAACCAGAGAATCTGTTTTGTAGGACAAGGAAGTACAAAAGCTTACCGGACTTGCAAACTTGGGTGGGAAGAGGACCGGAGAGAAGATTTTCTGAGACATCGAGAGCGATCATAGGTGAGGAAGATCCAAGATTTGGCGGGAGTTCACCGGTTAAGTAGTTGTCGTAGAGAGACAACATCTGTAAGGTTGTTGAGTTGCCAAGGGACTTGGGAATCTCACCGGTTAAGCTGTTGTTGTAAAACTGAAGCACTCGGAGTTTTGGAAGACTGCATATTGATTCTGGAATGCTTCCGGTTAGCCTGCTAACCGAGATGTCTATGTCCGTAAGATTCTTGAGTTTACCGAGTTCCTCCGGTATACTCCCGGTTAAGTGGTAGTTATAGTAAAGCTCAAGCTGCCTTAAGTTGGAAAGATTCCCTATTTCTTTTGGAATCTCGCCAGAGAGGAAGTTTCCGCTGAGTTCGAGATCAACAAGAGAATTCAGATTCCCAATAGATCTCGGGATATTACCGTGGAGCATACAGGTCATCAAGAGCATGTGTGTGAGCTTCTTGAGGTTGGAGACATAATCCGGTAGAGTCCAGAGATTAAGCTCTGGGTTCTCATTGAAATTGAGATACTCTAGATCGGTGAGGTTGAAGATCGAGAACGGGAAGCTACCGGTGAAGTGGTTCCAGGACATGTCGATGACTCTTAGGGTTTTCATGTGAGAGAAATCAGGGAGTGTAGTTGAGAGATAGAGAGAGCTCATGTTGAGCTCTCGAAGGAGAAAACAGTCGGGGATGGAAGTAAGGAAGCTGCTGCTTCTGTTGAGATGGTTGCGAGAGAGACGAAGGACACGAAGGTTTGGTAAGTACGAGCAAATCCTATCTGGGAAAATCCCGGAGAGAGACCACCCGGAAAGATCAAGTTCGGTGACTAGACCTTGACCGTCGCACCGTACACCAGCGAAGTTACAGTAGTTAGCAGTAGCTGCGTCGTCAGAGATATTCCAAGAGGACAAAGCGTTGCCTGCGAGAGAGTTTTTCATAAGCTTGAAGAATTGTGGTTGTTGGTTGGAATTCATCAAGCCCCATGATTGTTTTTTGCTGAAGCAAAAGAAGAAGAGAACAACAAAGGGTAAGAATTGGAGACGCATTTCAAGGAAATATCAGAAGGAGACAAGGAGGTAACTTAGGTTGCAAGAACTAGAGATATATTATTGGTTTGAGGATAAAATAAGGGGAAGGGAAAGTTTACAAGTTGAAAGACTGAAACTAATAATAGCCTTATAAAAACAAAAGAAATGTTCATATTTTCTTTTTGTAGATGATCAGAATCAGAAAGATGCATTTTATCAAATATATTGGTTTAAATAATAATTTAAGAGAATAAAAGGAGCATATGTAATATCCTTACTTTGCATAAAGAAGCTTTATTAATATACCCACTACGTTATTATGGACTATCGAGAATAACTTAGTGGTGGATGTAGCCACAACTTTATACCTCCTATGCTTTAAATTTTTTTTTTTAATTTTGTTATTTAATCAGAAAAGAAGAGTTGACGTATCATTGAATCAGATACTAAAGAGTGCACGATCACCTGTCCAAGAACCTCGCACTTGTCTCGACATGTTTTTTTGCGTGAATTTTTCTTTTTCCTGGACGGACAGTAGAAGCAACCATGCATGAGAGATTCGATAATAATATAAAACATTTTCTCACCACAAGGCATATGTAATAGGAGTCTCTCATCATGAGTCTGGTAAAGGCTATTTTTCTATTTTTCTCTAGATCATTTGAAGGTGGTATCGGTGAAAGAACCAAAGAGACTGCTCTTTTTCATGGTTAATAGAATTCCTTTAAAAGGTATAGACTGCTCAGAAGATGTTCCGCTTTTCTTGAAACACATGATAATCATGTTTAGTGTCTAGGATGATCCACTAAAAATTACTCTTTCTTAATACTAGTGGTGTTCATGAGTGAACAAAGTGACCAGCTCTCAATAGAGAAAAATCAACAAAAAGGTTTATACTTTAACTGATTGGATAATTGACCAAAAACAATACATATGTTTAAAATTTTAAAACAAAAAATCCTAATCCTAAACACAAATTATTAATGAAAACCACATTCTAATCATGTTTCCAATTTGTTTACGAATACCAAGTTTATTCCTAATGAATTTAGAATGTCCAAAAACTATCTCAGATCTAACCCTAACACCTAACCACCTAACCACTCGACCCCCACCGACCAGACCCACTAACAATGTCTAGACGACCCACAACTGGTCACTACCTAACTCCATCGTCTTAGTTGGTCGAGCGGTTCCTCGAGCGGGTTGAGCTGATCAGCTAGCTAGTCCGAGCTGACCTAAACTACAATGTGCTAACCTCAGTTAACTATACTAGTGTTAAGCTGACTACAGTTATACAGCTAAACGGTAAATTGTTTTTTGGTTGAGAAAACTACCCAAGCTTCTGACCTGGTGCCTCGACCATGTTTATGGAGTATTTGGGCTGATGGTTCGTTTGAACCTCGACTATGCTTGTCCATAGAAAGTCCACCTAGTTCTATGCAAGACAGAGGGTGTTACATGTACATGGATCAAACATCCACGAGAATGAAGCAAAATATATACGACAAAAGAAGGAATATGCTCGTGCAAACCTGAGTATGTTGTCAAATGTACTTACTTCCTACATAAAGCCCACATGCCAAAATATATGCAATAACGTATCGTACGATATGTGCATATTTCTGCGATAACACTAAGGGTTAGAAAAAATGTAGGTAACATGAAGTACACTGATAAAATACTGTAAACAACCCTCAAATTTATATATGGAGCAAAAAGTGCAAAATTTTAACCACATGAACCCCCATTCCCTGCTTATCCATACGTGAAAATGGTAAGACTGGTGGTTAAATCGCCACCCAAGGTAGATTCACACTATCACATCACTGATTGAAATGATGATGCTTGCCTCACCCTTTCGGGGCCGAATCACACCAGCACGTGATAAAAGTCTGACAGTGGCTTTTCTGCAGGAAGAAGAGTCCAACACCTTAATATGTTGATAGTGGCCTACTTCCGAGTGGTAGAATGTAACGTCTAGACCAACATTGATAGTGGCTTACTTCTGGGGGCAGAGTACAATGAGACATACAATTAAGAAACCTTACTCATGGGGACATAACTTAATATAATCTCTTGAAACTTTTGGGTTCAGCGAAAGGATACGCCCTAAGACCTTAGGGTCTTAAAAGGATACTTACCTTTAGGTTTCTAGAAGAATGCCCAGACAACATCCGGGTTCCTGGACAGAAGTCCATACAACCTCCGGATTCCTAGAGGAAGTCCATACAACCTTCTGGATGGAATTCCATACAACCTCTGGCTTCCTACACGAAAGTCTATACAACCTCCGGATTCCTCGAAGAAAGTCCATATGACCTTTGGGTTCATGGAAAAAGTCCATACACCTTCGGAGTCCTGGATAAATTCCATACAATCTTCAAGTTCCTGGATAAAATTGCATGCAACACCCATGTTCCAAGATAATAAATACATACAACTTTTGGGTTACAAAGATCACGTCCCCAAACCAACGGGGTCTACAAAGTTGTAATTCTAACCTTTTGGATTTCAGGATTATATGCCAGGAGCCTATGGTTTTCAGGGAAACATGTCCTTAAAAATCCTAAATCAGGAGAACATATCCCAAAATCCTTGGATTTCAAGGTGATGCATTCTTAAACTTCATGATACCTCTGGATAGTAGGATACAAGGTCATACAAGCATTGATAGTGGCCTATTGTCTGAGGGCAGATGGCAATGTGACACAGTTGAGTGTGGCCAAGAATTAATGGCAGAGTTCAACAATTGTTCCATTTGATTCACCCAGCAGAGACAAAAAGTAATGGTAGTAGTAAAACACTACTGTTAACTAAGGTCAACATGACAACATGTCCAAGAGATCGCCTCTGATACCAAGAATCGATTAGGTTATCCTAGTACCAGAATGAAACTTTCTCAACGTTCCCCATGACAAAGGTCATGGTGCAACCCTGAAACAAGTTAAGTAGTTACATTATCAAAACCTTAAGGAGTAGGAAACATGGAAAATACAATAAGGAGAACCGGCATGAAAATTTAAATGAAAGTCCACTACGGCATATTACAAGTTCAACATCATTGTCTTAATAATAAGAGATAAAAGAAGCGCAAGCAAGGCCAGATGAATGAAGCTCGGGGATCCTCATCTTTGTCCTTCGGGTCTTAATAAGCCTCCTCATCCTTCTAATCCTCAACCTCGCAAGGATGCTCCTTCTCGATTCATTGAGCCATATAATCCTCAAAAAATGCAGGCCGACATCATGGTTTGAAGTAAGACTTAGTGTAGCTATGACACCCAAAGGCTAACAACAAGATAGAAAGAATAAACATGGAAAATCATAGGAGAAAGAGGTAAAGACCACCACAATCAATTATACGCAGGAGCAACATGAGTAGGAGCAGAAGCATCATCCTTTATGTACATGTTCCTGGCCTCTGCAGCAAACTTTCGACCGAATCTGACTAATCCTCACCATAGGGGAAAATTCTCATGTGTAAAAAGCAGTGTATGAGAGTCCCACATACTCTGTTTGACCCCATGTGACAAAGTATTCCTATCTTCAAGCATGTACTGGCTTCTGCAGGCTGGTTTGCTTGATAATCTATTTCTGCACAACCCCTCAACGAGCAACGACACTGGTTCCATTCGCAATCAAGTTACCCTCATCAGGAAAGAAGGCATTACAAGCCTTTGGACCATGTATCTCTTCTGCTAGGTAAGTTTATCTCATACTCCAAGATCACGACGCCTATTTGCAGACTATCAGAATCCATAATACAAATATAACACAATGATTTTTCTCATTGACATAATCACAACTGGATCCACATGATCGTCATCACTCAGACCAAACACATGCCCGTTGAAGCATTTTTATGAGTTTATCTACATTGGTTCAGGCCACGACGTCATGCCCATTGAGCATACCAAAAAATATACTATTTGGTCTAGGCTATGCTCATATATCGGACCAGAGATTCCCCCTCATTCTCCATTTTATACATCTTCAATCAGGCGATGAACATTTTTATACCATGTGCCCTTGCACTGAAGCACTACCACCAAGTCAATCTGATAGACGAGTTGACGTCCAACTCCCAGTTTGACAAGGAACTTGATCCCATGGTGCAACTCAAGAAGTCAATGAAGAAAATTATGTTATTTCCACATTCAAACATGAAACTGGAAAATAAGGGGAAAACTGTTAGGTATAATTAATCTAGGAGCAAGAACCTCTAGTTAGAGCAGAACGTAAACCTCTTGGTTATGGGTGTCGGGTTCAGGGTCAAGTGATTACTCATTCCCAAGGATAAAGAGAAATATTTCTTAAGCTAAATTAATAAGCTTAGTAAGTAATGAATCTTCATAAATCTACCAGAATATATAAGAAAGTATGCTAAAATTTATGGTTATCTCTAAGAAAAATAGAATTATTCTATAATTTAAAAATATATTGAATATGTTCTAAGAAAAGTCACAACCTGTACTATAAATATGGGTTCCAAACCCTAAAGAAAGGAATGGCAATGGGTCCAAATCCAGAGAACATCGATTTAACAGCTGCCTATGACCTGGATATCTTTGTGATATGACTATTCTCAGCCAGATCAAGTTATATGCTCACTATAGCATGTCTACAACTCAACAAACTGGCTCAGGCCACGATCTCCGACCCATCAACAGAAATACTCCATGCTCATGAAGCATATTGACTAGTCTACCATTTTGTCCGGCCATGTGCCTTCTAGACCAAATAACTCCTATCAACTACACAGTCACATGCTTACAACGACATGTGCCAACAAGGCTACATGCCAACAAGGCTACTCACATATCTAGGTTACGCACCATAAAAAAATGAACTATGAGTGTTTTGATCCCCACTAAAGGGTACATAGTTAATCTCCACTGAAGGATGCAATTATGAATCTAACACCTTCCATGGTGACACACCTCAGTTCCTAGAGGAGACCTTTGGAAGCAGAAACCATCAACTATAGTAGGAAGACCATGCGATCATCACTATAGAAAGGAAACTCTTGCCTTATGATCCATCTCTCCTGCTGCTATAAAAAAAACTAACATCATATATTGGACCATATTTACATGGTAGTAGTCTAAATGCATGATCTCTTTGTTTATCAACAATTGAAATTGAAGAAGGAGAAAAAACCTACAACGAGTTGTTTCTTTCTTCCGATCATTCCGTAGAGATTAGTACAAAACAATTGCACAAATTTACCCTAACAAGAAGTATGACTATTTAAGTGTTCCTGGTAAATTTTCCACAACAGAAAAAATCAAATGTGTACAGAAATATAAGTCGAACAAAATATGATGATTATGTAATGTATCTAACTAACTATGTAGGGTAATTTTATAATAGTACATATGAACACTAGTAACATTTTGTCAAATTTAAACCTAATCGTAGAAAACTAAAAAAAACTCTCTTTCTTGTAAATATAAATTTTTCTCTCTGCTCTTTTATCCCATATCAATCATTCAAAGGGCATGGGAATTTTTTTCTTGGGTTGTAATAAAACTCTTGGATAATGGATGATTTAGTCAGATCTCTTCTCTCGTTTGATGAATTTTGGAGTGTTTTTTCATAAAAAATTTGGATTAATTTTCATGCTTCTATCTTTAAATTATTTGTTTTAAAACTAAATAAGATTATGATCTTTGTCGATCAGAGTAGAGGTGTCTTTGTAATTCATTAAACTATTCCACATTTATCTCTTCTCGGTTGAAGATTCCAAGCATGGTGAAAGTAATTTGGTGCCTTTACAGGCCGTCAGGCTTTAGTAGGGGGCACACAAACTTTGGCTTGTGATGTACCGGAGTCGTGGTGTGTTCTTCTCTGTTGATTGACATCGTCTGTTGAAGAGAAAATGTGGTAATATCAGAGAAGCAACTTAAGGGTTTTTGAAACTAAAATTACTGTGTATCGCAGCTTTCAAGTTAGAGGTGGACCTACGTGTATCAACAGGATGTCAGATGACACAAGTTAAAATTAGATAAAAGTACATTTATCATGTAACATTGAAATCTGTAGATCATTTGGTTTAACAGCCCATTGACTGACACCCCTTAACTCCAGTTCAACACTCATATTATGCATTGTTTTATTTGCATTTCTTAAATATTGTATATTTGGCTAAGTCCCAGATTTTCTGATCCCCCTAAAATAAGATCCTAGGTCTGCCACTGTTTCAAGCATTGTACTATGGAGAAACTCACAGAGAACATGCTTCACGTCGGTGTAGCTTCCAATGGCTGAGACTGAACTCATCGTATAGTGACGCATGCTAGAACACATGGTTTTTTGGGCGGTTGAAGCTAAGTCTGGGCTTCAGGGGACCGTAATATTCGGTTCTATTGATTCAGATTTTCGGTACTATACTCACAAGTCTCATTTGGGTTTTACAAATTATCTGGTCTAGTTCAATTCGGTTCCTTCTGGGTTCGGTTTGGATCGGATTATAACAAATGTATAAAATTGTCCAAAAATATTTTTTAGAAAACTAAAAGTTGACAAAAGAATAGTAAAATATATAAATTATTCACAATCTAACTAAAAACAAGTTAAATTACCTAAACTAACTAAAAGTTATCCAAAGTAACAAATAAAATAAACTATAAAAATCTTTAAAACATTCTAAAACATCTAAATTACCTTAACATATAAAAAATAATAACATAGTTCGCTAATTTCGGATATAGTTTGATCCAAGTTTGAATTTCAGTTCAGTTTAGATTGTATCCATACTCCAAAGTACCAAATTCAAGTCCCATTCGGATATTTTTGTATAATAGTTTGCATCCGGTTTAAGTTTTTTTGGTTCAGATTAGAGTAGGGAATTCGGTTTGAGATAAAAATACCTAGACCTAGTTGAAGCTTTACACGTGGAGATACGAAGTTTCTGAATCATTGTTTTCAGAGAAAGCAATTTCAGTATAATGAATATTTGTAATTATTGTTTGGCTTTTTTGTGGGTTCTTTTAAACGAAGCCCTTGTAATTCTGCCTATTGAGCTTGATAAATTAAAGTATTGTCGACAAAAAAAACTAATTGTAGAATTGCTTATATATTTCTTACAAAAGACCAAAAGAACAACCTTTGGCGCGTTGAAAAGCTCCACATTATCTTCAAGTCTTGGACGCTCGATGAAGCCTCAAGTAAAACTTCCTAGTCCTATAAACAACACTCAGACTCAACAACATAGCCATTAAACACACCACGGACATGAGACCACAGGTAACCGAATAACACACTGATCCTGTGCAGATGAGTGACTCAGTCTCTGTGGAGGTCCCGGCTTGCTTCCTAGCGTAGTAGTCATAGATGTTACTTGCAATCACACCTGAGAACACAAACGACCCAATAGGCAATGCTGTAATCTGGAAATTGTAAAGAGAACCGAAACTTTTTAGTCCAAAAATGTCAGAGACTGAAGCAGGAGCGATTGCCCAATGAGCGCCATAACCCATTCCTATTACAATGGTGACTACATAGATCTTCCCCGGCCAGTCTATGGCATAGTAGATGAGCCCTAATGACATTATCGCCTGAACCGCAGACATTGCCATTATTCTTGGAAGTGAGAGTTTTCTTGTTAAACACGAAGAAAATGATGATTATTTTCAGTTTAAAAAAAAACAATTTGACAATAAACGTTTATGTAAACTGAAATGGTACCTTATGATTAGCTCAGAGAAGTAGCCACCAGCAACACGGCCAAGAAAATTGGAGATGCTGATTAGTGATACGAATACTTTGGTGTTGCTATAGCCGAGGGAATAACAAATCTGACCAAGATTGTCTATAACCGTTATCCCTGAACCAACACCTAGAACCAGAGACATAAATATAAGCCAGAAGTCGGTTTGTCCCAAAGCCTGTAACAATGTGAAATCTTCTCCTATACACGGGGCTCTTCTCTTTTCCGGTGATATGTCACTCCTCTCAATCAAAGTCTTAACCTCATTCGGATCCACACTAGAAGTTCCTTCTTCTGGCTTCACCAAGGTGACGTTATCACCTGAGAGGAAAACCGATGCAAAAGGGACAAGAACTGGAGCAACCATCAAAACGACAAGAATAGCTCCAGAGGCTGTGATAGCTCTTTGAGTTATATCAACAAGACTCTGAAGTACCAACACTCCTAACAGATACACAGCGAGGACAACACAGAAGCCGTAAATAGCTAAGAAACGTAAATCATCAGACCGCAAGTTCGCTCTGCAACTTCTTTCCACGGGTCTAACAACAAACAATAGAGCCAGAACAACGAGTGGTGGTCCAAGAGCTACCATGAGAATGACCGAAGAATCATGAGAGGGATTGAACATCAAATAAACCTGAGTCAAGATAGCTCCGCTCAAGCCAGAGAACCCTTTCAAGATTCCAACAACAGGACCACGGCTCTCTGGGAAGTTATGAATGCATGAGACTAGAGATGCTGTATTGTAGTAGGTTTCTCCGTTTGTTCCCACGAAAATAGCTACAAACAACTGCATTAACAAAACTGTTATAAATTAAGAAAAACAGGAACCAGACATTGAAAAAAAACAGGAGTCTTGTCGGATGTGAGTTACATCATGTAATAAAAAGAAATCATGTGTACAAATACGATTAGAAAAATTCATGTCACCATCCAAAGAGGCAGATTAGGCAATTGACCAGTGACGACGAGCCAGACAACACCGTAGCCCACAAAATTCTGAGCAGCACCGACGAGTAGAACCGCCCACGACGGTGATACTTCAGATAAGGCACCGGAGACGAATCCGATAGCATCGCCGAGGTTCTTAGCAACGCCGAGAAGACCGATCTGTTTCTGGTTGTAACCGAGGGAAGTCTTGATCGCTGGGGACATTGAGCCACCGAATAAGTAACCGACGCCGGCGACAGACTGGATCCACATGGCACACACGAACACTAGCCACCGGTCGTTGGTTAGAGTCTCCAGTTTGTGACGCCACAAAGCCATAGCTAGTCAATGGCTTGATATTTTTTTCGGATAGGGAATTTAATCATTTGGAACAAACTTTTGTTTTAAAAGAGTGTCGCAAATATCCAAAACATACCAAATCAAATAGAAAATGTCACTTCACTGCAAATCTTGGAACGGAATTTTAGAATAAGGTAATGAAATTTTTAATACTAGCTGGACATAAATGTCATTTGGTTATATTTCTATAATCTGTATTTCTCATCCACACATATTTCAAAGTATAAAAATATGTCAATAACAACACCAAGTATATCTCCTATATAATACAACGCAAGTCGGTTGAGTAATCAAAATTTGACACACGTAATCTTCTTAAAAAAAAAAAAACTATATCACGTTTTTTTTTTAATTTAAACTAGATGATAATCCGCGCTCTATGCGGAGTAAGCGAATTAAAAAAAAATTATTACCTAATATCTATAGATATTTAGAAAGATAAAAAAAATTAGATATAATGAAAAAAATACTATAATATACATGTTTATATAATGTAAGCTTATTTGTTTTTATTTAATGAAAAAAGTTTGTATAATTAGATAGGTGCATTGAAATATATTATATAGAAGAAAAAACTATAAGAGTAAGGAAAGACTTATTTAGATTTATTATAAATTTAAGAAAAAACAAATATAGACAATATAACTATTTATTTCATAATAAAATCATGATGATAATAATTATAGCTTTCGATGATGCTTTAAAAATGTTTAGGTTGATGGTGTTCTGAAATTAGTTTAGAAAGATATATATATTACTTTGAGGAAAGTGTTTAAGCAAAAGAAAAATTAATGGTGGTGTTGAATAACTATGGCCTAAAATCAAGAAAAAAAATCACTAATTAAAATCAAGGTATATAAAACTTGAATGAATATGTATTACTTCTGATTACGTACTAACAAATCATATATATAATTTCCGAATAATATGTTTTTCTTAACCAAAATCAATTAATGCTTGAATAAAATTAATCAATTAGCTTATCTACATGATATGATTTCAAAGTATAATCTCTTAGTTTCTAACAAAAATATTTTTTTTTGTATTCCCTCTGTTTCAAAATAATACATGTTTTAAGTTTTTCACACATATTAAGAAAAATATTAAAACTTAGTTTTTAATGCATAATAATTTGTAATTTTTTATTTCCCATATTTTTAAAGCAATAAATTTTCAAGAAATGCAATTAATGTTTTTGAAATTTGCAATTTTCATTATTAGTTGATAAAAAGTACATTGAAAATCTAAAAATACATCTTTTTGAAACACAAGTTTTTTTCTAGAATGTGTATCTTTCTGAAACAGAGGGAGTACACAAGTTGCCCTTAAAAAATCAATCAATGATTATCAAAAAAATATTTCTTGTTTTACTTTCTAAATAGAAATTCGTAACATAGTCTTCCTAAAATAAAAGATTCTAGACATAATCAATATTTAAATATTTAATGTTTAAATAAAATCAATTAATGATTGAATTAAATACATAATTTTTAAATAAAATCAATCAATGCTTGAATAAAATCAATCTAGAATAAATTTTATTTTTTGTTTGTAGTATCCAATTAGAGGTGTGTGGTCCTGGTATCCAAAAATTTCGAAAAATATATATAATTTCATACATTTTATAATATAAAGTTTCTAAAAATACATTGTAAGCATATATACATTATATAATGGCCTATTTTAAATTATAATCTTCGTTAAGAAAATAACAGTACACCGATTTCAAATTGTAATATCATTTGATTCAAATAATATAAAGTTCGTGATATGGTCTTGCGAAAAAAAGAGTCTAGACATAATCAACATTTATTTATATACAACTCTATAATACCCAAGAACTATGTTTTTAAAAAATCAATCAATATGCATTATGAATTGATATCGAACCTGTCCAACTAGATTAGGAAATTCATGAATACATGTTAACCATAATCATTTTCTCTTATCATTTATGAAAATTGAAAAAAATAAATTCATGAATACATGTAAATATTGTTATTTGAAGCAATTTTTAAATTTGAAAAAGTTATACAAAGCCATGGTCCTTAATTTAAGTGACTGGTTATTTATTTTCAAATATTTTTAAAATTAGATGATCAATCACAAAAATGATCAATCACGAAAGAAAGAGTTTTACCATATTCAAAAACCTTTTAAATAAACATTATCAAAATATATAGTAATATAACAAATCATCCTCATCATCATAGCCTCTAATTGAAGACTATGTACCAAATCAATTCTATGTGAAGAAATTTTAGTTGTATGCTAGAAATTTATAAATTTTATTTTTGGTTTGTAGTATTCAATTAGAGGTGTGCGGTCATGGTGGCCGAATATTTGAAATAAATTATATAACTTGACACATTTTATGATATAATATTTTCCGAAATACATTTTAAACATTTCAAATTATAATCTCATTTGATATATTGTATAATATAATAAAAACTAATTTATATAATATAATAAAAACCAGTTTTAAATAACTGATTTTGATATAGTGTAATATAAATTATACATTATATAATATAATGATAACTGATTTATATAAACATTCTAAAGTAGTAATCGGGTAAAATATGTTAACCGGTTTAAAAATGATAAAATATGTTACCAAATAACCGGTTTCTTCCTTGGTCTACATTAAGGATGCACTTAACCAAAACATACTATTAAAACATTATGCTAAACTATAATTAATGCATAATGGCAAAGAATGTAATAAGTATAATAAAGAGAGGGTTTTTATTTAATGAGGCTGAGAATGAATATAGTGTTGCCACCTAAGATATGACATTGTTGATAATAACACATAAACATATGGTTACTCTTAAAAACAAAATCTCCTCAAATAATAAAAAGGGGATTAACTAAACGGAATGTTATACTTTTTTCTTATAATTATATTTCCATGTTCAACATGAGTCAAAACTCGTTAGTAAATACAAAAAACAAATTACTAATATAACAGTATATTTTATCAATATATAAATCTTACCTTCTCATCTCCTAGTAGCAGTTCCGATTTCTGGAATATTGGTCCAACTTCTGTCTTCCCTTTGCATATAATCTTAACACGGACTGAAAGCAAATGTTTGAAAAGACTTAATTCTACCAATAAAGTATGACTACCTATAGCAAAAATTATCGAGAGAACTTGTTGTGAGATCGGGTTACCAAGGTGATATGCATCTGTTAAATATATACTACTTCTGATTATAATCACGTTTTGACAATTAGTATAATCACTAGGTGTTGACCCGCGCCCTGCGCGGGGTGAGATGATTTTGACTTTGATCGAACAATAATTTGGTATATTAATTTGTTGAACTAAAAATAGATAGTGGATGTGAATCAGTAATAAAAATCATATAGTCATATAATGAGAAATTAGTATAGCTGCGATACGAAGCAATGATTTATAGAATATAGTTTTCATTGTTTGTCTTATATATATGTTTATCTTATAGATATATGATGATACAAAAAAAGTAACGAAACCGTCTACTAAAAAACAGTAGAAAATAAAAAAAATAATTAATAGGATAATAAAACATAGAAAAATAAAACATGATATAATGAGAAAATTCTCATAATTTTATCATAAAACATAGAAAAATAAAACATGATTGAATACTGAATGGACGTATAGAATACGAGTTATATATGTTTAAGTAGCATTTATTTTAGTATATTAAGAACGATTTGCGCTTGTCTATCAAGCAAGTTCAAATTTATGGGTATCTCATTTAATTCAGAATATTATATATAGGTGATTGACATTCAATCAGAAAGAATCTCATTTAATTCCGAGATTTACTTACTAAAAATACGTGACTGAACTTACTTAATATTAACTTTGTGTGTAAAAGTGGGTCGTCTGGTTTAATATTCGACGATTTATGAAATATATTCATTCAATATTTGAATACAATAACAACAAATGGTTCGTGCATATAAGGGAAATTGATATTATGCATGAATATAAGGGAAACTGAAATACGCATGCAGATTCGGCCATTAATTTTGATTGAACATAATTGTACCCACAACTAATACTACACGAATATCCCCTTCTTGAATAAAATATAAAATATAAAATATATCGTAGAAAAACATATAACAAAATTGTTCTATAGGCATGTTGAATAAAATAGGAAAATAAGGAATTATGAAATAAGGTGATAGCATTTGCGATTTTTATTTATACTTATGTAACGAAATATATTTTGAATAAATCATACAAAAGCATGTAACAAAATCATTCTATATGCATGTTTTATATTACATATTACATTTACAATATTTACAATATATATATATATACATAAAATATATCGTACAAAAAAATGTAACAAAATCGTTCTATAGGAAAATTTAAAATATAAAATATAAAATTTAAATATATGCCCAGTAGACAATAAAATGAAATCGTACAAAAACATGTAACAAATCGATCACTTATCAATAATAGTTCACTATATGTGAGGAGTAAATGTGCAATTGCCTATTGCTATATCAATTGTTATATCATATATGTATATTTATATTAATGACATGTTGTGTATATGTATATGGTATATTTATATCAATGGCATGTTGTGTAATAACTCTAGTGAAGTAAGGTCTTTTAGCTTAAAGGGGTGAGAAGGCTTGTGGAGTTGCCACGTAGGAAATGACATGGTTGTAATAAACACATGAAGTAGAGGTTTCTTTTAAAAAGTTCTCCTCAAATAATAAGAAGGGGATTGAAAACGTAATAAAAGCATGGAGGCAAATTGGCAGAACTAAATTTTTGCCTTCCTTATTTATATATAGTAATTTATTTGGATGTGTATTAAGGTGATCAGAGGTTAATGCTTCTAAACATTTTTCTTGTTTGCAAGAAAATAATATATTTTAAGGGTTTCATATAACACAGTCAATAGAAATTCTTCATTCGTACTAATCTAATGCATTAAATTATAATATTTTTTCATAAACAGAAATATTATGCA